GCTGCTGACAGCACTTTCCTTTCTCCCGTGACAGGTATCTCTAAGTTACAAAGTTCAGTTGCCCGTTTCTTCGTATTCAGTAGGCAAAAAGAGCTCGGCATATATCTGGCGTGTGGAAAGTGCCTTTTTCGTCTTTATGAAAAATTCGCATTCTCACTTATGTATAGCAAAAAGGGTGGATGCCCTTTGCCTACCCTGCGATGTATGCTTCAGGCACCAGCCACAAAGCAGCTCATTGACAGAAGAGATGTGGACTGGATAAACTCAGTCTGGCACACAGCAGGCTCCCCGAGGAGCCTGAAGTCCAGGCTGCTTGTTAAAGGCTGCGGGAAGAGCAGAATTCTTTGGGGGTGATAAGAGTTTCGAGAGGGAGGTGATGAGATGGAACAAAAAAAATCTAGGTCTTACTTATATGCAGAGTTAACTCAAACTGTGGTGTTAAATCTTTGAGCAAAAGGCTACATCAACATGTCCCACCCTGCTTAAAAAAGGCTTGCAAAAATTTTACTGAAGTTGATCAGGAATAGGTTTTAAAATAAAAGAAGCCAGTTAACCTAGAGCAGGTATCAAAAGGGCAACTTAACAGTAAACCAGTGCAAAACATGTAGTTTGCTGTAATGATTTTTTCCACCGAAATCTTAATAAGCGCATTGGAAATACAGATATGATCTCATCGCTCGTTTCTGCAGCGGAATGAGGAAGCTATTAAAAGCCCTACCTACATCAGTCTCTTTCTTAAATTAGCGAGAGGTTTCTGAGCCTCCCAGCAGTTAATTCTCACAGTTATTCTGTAGCAGAGTCAGCAGCTTTGGGGCCAGGGGGAGCTCTTTGGCAAGGAGAGGGAATCATGCACTGAAAAAACAAAAGCGAGATTAGTAATCATGAATGGACTATTTTGTAACGCACTTCTCTTTTAACCAGGTCAATGGAAAAGATATCTCCTGTGCCAGCTTACAGGAGGTCTTAGAAGTTCTCCAAAGCACAGGAGAGCAGATCATGCTGGAGGTGCATGGGCAGAAGTCAGCCCACAAGCCTCCCCAAACATCCGATGCTGCAACCCAGACTGACTCCAGAGGGGAGGATGAGCAACGCTATAAGGAGGAGAACTGTACCCTCTCAGATTTTAATCTCTGCCTAGATGGGTATGTTCAATACATTGCTCGAGATAAAGAAACGCCTCCTAAAAATTAGCAATTACATTTAAAACACAGTGGCTATACTGAGACTTACCTCAGCTACACTGAGCACAATATTATAAATTTATATTCTGGCAGGTTTGTGAATGTTTCAGGAAGGCTGCTTCTATATCTTTTGAGCTTCTCACTGTTCTAACTTTGCTACAAGACTAGCTGCATCCATGAGACCCTTACCTGTCTTTAAAGAAAACAGTGAACAGAAGGAAAAGCAATGCCTCCTGTGTTGATTTGCCAGATGTTTACCATCTTGAATGGATCCTGTTACACTTCTTAATACCATGTTGGTTTTACACATGGTACATTCTTACTGAAGGCTAATGCTGGGCAGGTCTGAGCACAGCATGCAAAATGCAGGCTCAGCCAACATCTCTCCAAGCTGCATTTCTAATCCACTGCATCCATTAACCTTAAACCAGCCATATTTAGCCCTTGCCTAGCTACTGCTTCGGTCATTCATACAGTAAAAGAATACGATCCTCAGCATGCGAAAGAGCAAACTGAACCCCTCTCTCAGGGCTGTGGCAGAATAAACCTCTGTTTCTGTTTGGTTTCTCCACAGGTCTGTCTCTGATTACTTGTTGCCGCAGGACTGCAACAGTGAAAATGAATCTAATTACCTGCTTCCTGCACTCTGCACCACAGTAAAAGACAAAAAGTTGAACTACAAGGTATCTCATCTGTTTTTGTCTCCATACCTGCTGGAAATCTTTTTCAGTCACCTTAGTCTTGCATCAAGTTAGGTCTGCTATACCTGGATTTAGTGTTCCCTGCTCTCATTACATTTCTCTTTTTCAGGCATTAGCCCTCATTCATCAAGATGAGCCGAGCTCCAGCAGCTGTTGTCGCATCCCTGAAGCTCTCTCCAGTGTCTCTGTGAGCTTGGTGAGCCCATGCCTCAGTCTGTTCACAGCAGTGTGGGAACAGCTGAAGGCAAGAGAGAAATCCTGCCACTGCATATGCTTGGAGGATGCTTAGAGAGATGATTCATGCTTAGCCAGAGCGGGATAGCCCCAAAGATAACTAACAGCTTGTGGATGTTTGTTTTTAGGCAGAAAGTGAAAGCGCTAAAGGCAAAGAAGAAAAACAGGCATTTCTGCTTCATCCCGAGTGGGACAGCAGACTTGGCTTTACTGATATCAGCACTCAGCCAGATGAGAATTCAGGGCCTGATGTGGAAGAAGAACAAGCCAATTGCCAGAATGGTCCCAGTATAGATCTCTGGGCTGGCATAACATCTGCAAGGGGTGGACTACCTACCGATGACTTCTTCGCCTATGATGAGTTAAGCGATTCCAGTTCCTGTGGCATAAGTGCAGAGAAGCACAGGAGATTTCAAGACCTCGTGGAAGGCAGATGCAACCAGTATAGATACATTAACAGGGCACAACAAATGCCTCCCAGGTCAGGAGGCCAGGAGGGGTGCAAGCAATGCAAACAGAAGGACCAGTGGCTCCCTAAGTGCCTTCCGGTTGGTGAAAATAGCACTGCTGAGGAGAAAGGGCCGCAGCACAGAAGTGAACTCTCTCTGGAAGGTGCAGCAAGTCGGGACAGGAGTAAAGCAAATGAGAACAACAAATCAATAAAACAGGGCAGTGAATCAGAACCAGCTTCCTGCTCACCAACACACATCACTGCTGACCCAGAACAGGTTACACTTCCTTATCACGCACGTCACTACAGGAGCTACATGAGCTTGCTGCAGGAAAGGGCTGCTGTAGAGTGTCAAAGCAACCAGGCTAGAGTGTCAGCAAAACCAAAGCAATGGAACAAAAGCCCAGAGGGCAAAGCAGGAGATAATGGGAGCAGATGGAGGCTGCCATATGGAAGGAGCAAGCAGTCCTTGAAGAAGCAACACAAGAACTGGCTACTAAAAGACAGGGCCTTGCAAATCACAGAAGAACGCAATGGGATGACCACAGATGAGGATGCCCTTAGTGAGTTGAAGATTGGCAAATACTGGAATAAAGCTCAAAGAAAGCAGCATATGCTCCTAGCCAAGGAACACAAACAGAGAAAAGAGTTTAAGATGCAGAGCCAGAGGGAACAGCTGAGCAAAGAGAAAGCCAGCAATGAATGCAGAAGAAACTTCAATATTGTTGAGCTGAGCCAGAAGAAGCTGATAAAGAACAGAAGCAAAAAAATCTTGGACAATTGGATCACCATTCAGGAGCTCCTGACCCATGGGACCAGGTCAGCGGATGGAACAACATACAGTCCCTTGCTGTCTGTCACGACAGTGTAGCAACCCACTGGTCTACTCCCAGAGGAGCTAGAGGGCTCGGAAAGGAAGAGTGCATCTTCCCAAAGACTCCCACACATGCTACCCAGGGCACCTTCAGTTCTACATAAACACGGTTGGACTATCAGAAAACATACATGGAAGAGGCATCTTCTTCCGTCAGTGCAGAATGGTCCCCCTCAAGTTTACAAACTTTTGCCACTTATTTGTGCCCATTAAAGCTTCCTTGCAGAAACAGAGAACTCGGTAGAATTACAAATAGGGAACTCTAGCCTGATAGTAGGCTTGTTTCTCCACTCAAATGTAGTTAGAGAACGCCAGGGTCCACAGATCATTGTCCTAATATGCTTATTACCTACTTAATTGTACATGAAGCTTTGGCTCACTACATTTCAATCTGGTTTTTTTTTTTTTATATTAAGTGTTCTGCAGATAAGGTATTTACTTGTATACTTATCTCTTTCTACATTTTGTTCTGGTTAAAAAAAAAACCAACAGTATGCATAGTGTGCTTCAATCATAAATATTAGAGCTATATCATTATTTTCCCCAGAACTGGATGTGCTATGCGTTCTTGTACTTCATTTCATGGAAAAAAAAGAAAAAAAACAGGGAAGAGACTTAGTAAATATAGTTGTTTACTGTAAAATAGAGACAAACTAGAGAGAGAAGACACCTAATAGGTCCCTCTGCAAATTTGGCTACCAAGGAGAGCAGCACTCCATACCGAGTTGCTGCATGTTTTATACTTATTATCATTAGAAGAAATGAAAGAGCCACAGACCAAACAAACTCTTCCCCTTCCCTTTAAGATTTTAGGAAACAGCTCAGTTCTGAGTTGCCATAAAAGCATCCAGTCATATTCCTAAGCAGTGGTGCTTGATTTGAAGATTTGCTTGTGCTATGCATCCTGCTTCACTGTTCTAAACCACAAAGAAAACAAGTAGCTCGAAGCTATCGCTTGATGATACCTTACAGTTACCCAGGCTCCAAGTAGAGAAATCTAAACATCTATAGAGAAAGTAGGCAGTGGCAGTCCACCCATAGTGCCCACGCTCCCAACTACGGAGACCAGACCACTTGGATTTGATAGACAGGACACCAGGCAGGCAGGAAACCTGGTTTCTAGGCCCTGGTTGAGGATGCCCTTACTTCTCTGCACCTCTTGCTGGAGAAACACCACCTACTAAAACGAGTGATCCGCATCAACTCACATCAACACAGAACCCTGGGCAAGGCAGAAGAAATTTGAAAAAACAAAAAACAAACAAAAACAAAATAGGATCCCAAAGTATTAGCTACAAAAAAAAAAAAATAGAGCTGGAGTAAAGACCAGTCAGAGCAGCACAGCAAGACAGTGGCAAGCAGTGGCAATTTTCTGTGGCTGTCTGTGTCCTCTAACTCCTGCCTAGATCACTGCAGGAGTAACACCACATTAACCACCCTTCTACACAATGTAGCGGTTGACTGCCTTGCCCTGTCTGGAGGTATTGTCTGCACTACACCATTCAGACTCAAGCTCTAGCTCTGCAGTCCATACTTTATTAGGCTTCACAAGTCTGGTAACAGATGAAATAAAGTATGTCAGCCAGAAAAAAAAAGTTACCAACATCACCATGAAACTGCATCAGTTCTAATATTTTTATATATGTTACTATAAGCAAGATAGGGCCAAGAAACTGCAGTAAAACTCAATTCATTTCCCTGAAGCTTTGCTTCTCCAAATCTTCCGTAAAAAGTAGAGACTTATGCTCACCAGGACGCCTCCTATTACCCCACTTCCAACTCCTATTAAGGGTTCATTCAATAATTTACTCTGCCAAAAGCTCTGCTGCTGTCGCATTTCTATGTGGGTGATGTTTTGTTTGTTTCCTTCCTCTTCATTTTCTGCTATTTTCTGCTCCAAAGTCAAGGATTTTTGAAAGTTCAGATCCACCAAGTCCTTTTGGATCACTCTGACCCCAAAGTAGATCCTCTTGATGACTTTGAATGTCTTCATCATCTGCACATCACATCGGTAAGTCCCTGCATCAGATTCCCTGGCAGGGGAAAGTCTGATGACAGAATCAGGGTTTTTGAAAGGTCTGAACAGAACATCGTTTGTCGTGATAAGGCCTTGGGCAAGCCTCCATGTATAAATATAGGCTTGGCTATCAATGCCAGTCACATCTGAGGTCAGGCAGCTGATCTCAAATGGCTTGCCCACAGGGACTGTGAAGTGGAGTAAGCCACAAATCCAGCTGGTCAGGCAGTCCGACCTGCGTAAGGTACAATTCCTCCTCTCTCCGGCGGGAGTGATCTCACACATCTCCTCCATTTTGAAGCCCAGCCCACAGGTCACACTGCAGGATGTGGTGTTGACCAAGACTTTAGCTACAACTGACTTCAGCTCTGCTGGGATAGTAACTTTTTCATAGGAAACTATCAAAGGCAGATAGAAAGCACAGGCTAATATCCCAAGGATGAGGCTGTTTTCTAAGGCCCTCATATCAGGGTTGTCAAACAGATATCCTACCTTCTAAAGGCTTACAAATTCAGCAGTCAAACTCAGATCGTTCTTTGCAAACGTTCTTTGTAAGTATTTCTGAATTCCCACCAGCATCATCTTCACAACCTAAAATGCTTCCATTAGGAAAAATCCTCCAACATGATAGGCTGGAAGTATAACACTGCTAAAGAAAATGCAACATATTACTGTGTCAGTCAGCATGTAAACCATGAATTTCAGTTCCTATAGTAGGGTAACAGCATGTTTTAATCCACTGTATTTCAGTAACTGGGATCTATTTGACAATTTAAAGATGATGAAATACTCCCTTCTTCTCTATAAGATTTTACATATTATTTTAGAGTAAAGAAATAATGTTTCAGTTTAATTTTCCCAAAGTATAAAATGAGATGAGTAACCATTACTGGAATTCTTAATATAAAACTGTCAACATAAGGAAAACATAACCACTTATGCAGTACCTGTACAGTTCTGTCCTACGTATGCATATCCCCAAATCAAAAGTACTCCCCAGGTTACCAAGATCACGAAAATAAGATTTTGACTTCAGTGCCAGACTGTCTAGAGATCAAAGGCAAACTAAAGAACATTTTATCACTGATGATTTCCATATCTACGCAGGGCTCAGTGAAGTCCCTCACGTCTCCGTGAGCCCGCGTTCCCCAGGGAAGCGGCGCTGATGTCACAGACCAGAACGTGGCCACAAAAACCTTCTTACGTGACTGCCGGAGGAGGGGGGGGAAAAAAAAAAGAACACCCCAAACTCCAACAGTCTGCAGCCAAGTTAGGTCGTCAAGACGAGGATAGCAGCATACAGGCTCCTTATTAGGCTCTTGACACCCACAATCAGACTTTCTGCTGCAGAAGGGATTCAACGGTGCTGACCTCGCGACGCCACTTACAGGAGCTGGGAGCTTCAGCCCTGTGCTCTGCACCAAGCACAGCGACTGGCTCGGCAGAGCCATTCTCAGAGCCACAATCTTCATGTTCCAGTTGATGTATTTGTAAAACAGAAACCACTTGGATGCTGCCATTGCTGTAGAACGAATGAGGAGGAAATTTCCTAGTATAATTTACTAAGTACTCAAGCATCCCCAGATAATAACGTACTACCAAAAGTTTTTCAAAAAAATACAACAACAAAAAAGCACAACACTTATTTTTGATGGAATAATGAAACTACGGTCAGAACAGTTCATTATCGCAGGGTCTACTTACCAGCAACTGAATTACGAACAGAGCAAAGGATTGCCATTTTCTTCAAAAGCATTGTTAATAGATATCTACACTTCTCTTCCTAATACTAAGTTATTAAAATGAGGACCTCTGAATATCTAGTATATTTATTGTCCACATTCAATCTCCACATTCAACAGTGATGTACTCTACACCCAGCACTTTGCGTTCAGCCTCCCTTTCAGCATGTCTTGTCTGAGAGTTTCTGGGTCACGCTCAGGTATACAGGACTTTTGTTAGATTAGAGATTTACTCCTGTCTACTGAAGAATGTCACCAAGCAAATGCCACACTATAAAAAACATCCTAGCTGTGGGGAAAGCATACTATCTTTGTGTTTATACTGGGGCACTGTCACAATATAACTAATATAAACAATCACTGAAGTATGGAAAAGCCAAGACTTACCCATTGACGTTAGGAAATAAAACATACCTCTTTATTTACAAACACAAAAACTAACATCACTGCTATACGCTACCAACAAGCCAGTATCTGACAAATATTGTACAAAACTACAGATATCAAAAAATAAAATAAGAGACGGAAGATAATAAACCAAGGACATATACACTGTACAGAAAAGTTTTAACAGAAGTGAAGGCTAGAGTCTGTGGTAAATTGTATGCTGTAAAACAATCATGAGAACCATTGCCCGTGCATCTTTAAAGCTTGGTTTGGGCTCAGACACACCACAAATGGGTGGATTTAACATAACAGTGTTCCACAAAGATGTGAGTTGTCCTACAAGCAAAAAGGACAAGGAAGACTAATACCGTACACCACAGGAATTCATTTCATTAAATGAAGTAGGCCACTGTACCAAAGCCATAAATGAAAACACCATTAAAAAAAGTTCTGATTTAGAATGCCTCCTCTTTGCATATTTAAACTTCATGCAACTACTGTGTACATACAACTGCAAATTAATAAATATCTTTATGACTCCTCTTAGCTTTTAATGTCTGCTGCAGGATATTTTGAAAAACTAAATACATAGTGATAATCTATATAATTGTATCGGGGAAAAATTGAAAGTAATTGCATAGGAACTATAAAAACCTCTAGAAATCAAGGGGCATTAAGAATAGAAACCTTCTTATAATAGGCTGTTGGTCTAGAACAGAGGTCCGAGTCTGTTCGTATGTGACGGATAAATTGTCTCTTCCCATTTCCAGGAGGAAAACATTACACAGGTCATCGAGGAACAAAAGATCAAAGCATTGCTGGAAATAAGCTGTTAGCAGTCATCAAAAGTCTATTCTTGATCCACAAGTGTTAAAAAAAAAATAAAAAAAAATAAAAAAAAACCCACCACACTCCAGATCTGTATGCTTTTTTACACTCAGGTTGTTATTCTTGTCATCTTTAAGTCTTGAGCGCGAAACTGAAAGCTACTGTTTGAACTAGGAGAAGCATTGGTTCTTTCTTCTCTAACCACCAGCATACTTCAGCTAAGGAGGAAACCAGTTCTTTCTAGTAGGGAACATAACAGGAAAGAGAGACAGAATAAAAACACCTGCAAGAGCAGAAAAAAGTGCCAGCACAGCCTTTCATATTACTTTCTAGAAGAAAGTCTGTATAAACTTTGAGTCTTTTATCTAGAGCTACTTTCTCTTGTCCATTTTCCCATAAGCGGAGTCATCCTTCATGTCTAAAATATTCACAATATGAAGATTCATTCTCGGCAGACTTCAGAGGGTGTCCTGATTCTTCACGCTAGATCTCTATCCACTTGAGATGAAATCAAACCTGGCACATAATCAGCAGCAGTGTTTCACTAGGCATGTCAGCATAGAAGACATCACACTGAGCTAACAGAAAAGCTGATAAGGTAATGCAGCTGGTATAGAAGGAGCAGAATTACAACTCACTGAAATGAAAATCAACAGCAAAGAAAGGGAAGTTTGGAGGATACACAATCATACAGTATCAGGAATAAAAACACACGCTTTGGGTATTCTTCCATCCAGGAACAAAAAATACTTAAAAGACAACGGTTGATAAGTTCTGGAGTGGCAGAGTGTTGGGTACCAGCTCATTTTAGAAAGAGTTATACATGTCAACATGAAGGCAGTTCAATTAGTCTCTTTGCAAATCACATGACCTGAGAGTCAACATCTCACTGTTCGATGAAGAGGCAGTTAAGAAGGAATGAAGGCTGTTTCCTCTTCTATAATTCATTTCTTATAAAAGTCATTCCCTGAATCCATGAACAATCAGGCTGCTGTATTAAAATCAGTCCATTCTGACTGAGCACTTCCATATATTTTCCATATTATGGTGCCAATATAGGCAAGAATACAGGAAGATAAAGAAGAATGTCTTCATAACAATTCTGAGATTGCACCACCTGCTAAAGAGATCAAAGACAGGTGAAAAATAAATTATCAGACTCATAAACAGATGTCACCAGAAACCAGAGACTGCCAAATATGGTAGCATTTTCAGAAAAAAAATGAAAGAGAACAAGCTTTTCTAGACAAAGCCATTCTTTTCAGATCAAGAAATAAGCAACAAGATACTATCTAAGACAAATTAAGATCTCTATTATTTCTGCATTTGTATTTGAAGCCACATGCATGGGCACAGACAAGGTAGCTGAGGAACTCTGAGCTATTAGGACCTATTAGATCCCCTTAAGTCAACAGTACTGTAGAAGGGAGCTCACTAATGGATTCTACTGAGAGACAGAAGTGCTGCATAACAATATTATTGGTCTATAGCTCAATCAAGCTACAGAATACTGTTATGGAAAAAATCCCTGAAGTACTTACAGGCAGCAAAGATTTAAGAGGAAGGGGGGGAAAAAAAAAAAAAAAAAAAAAAGAGAGCTCTGCCCTCTCCAATAGTAATAACTCCAATATAGTAAACAGGGAACTTTTATTGGGTTTAAACCCAACCCATTTGTTCACACAAAAAAAGTGATTTTCCATTTTACACTATCCAAAAAAAGAAACTAATTCCACTGGCGCAAATATGCGCATCCCAAGCTCAGCAGTGGTTAACAAGTGAAATTCCATAGCTGTCTTACATAGCGAGTCAGACTACATCACTATAAATGCATGGGATCATTACAAACAAAATCACACACAAAAACCTCCCAAATATGACTTTACAAGGATGTGCAAAAACCAAGAAAGGAGTCTGTCTTGAATGTTGCTTCATTTGAAATATGCCAGAGGAAATGAGATTCATATTTTTCCTATGGCTCTATAGGAGAGACTGATGCAATAGTGATTACAAGCTGCAAGAAGAAAGTACAGAGATCTATCTACAAAGAAAAATGAAGCAAATCAGTGAAATAAGTTGGTAATAAACTTACATAAACATAGTGCAAAAAACTGAATGAAAATACTTCCTATTAAAACCACTGATGTGAAAATAGACGGCTTACACTGCTGCCTAAACACAAAAGTTTAAATGTCCAGTTTTTCTTAAAAGTAAATAATCACTGAAATTTGTTTTTGGAAGCCACACTGTAAGTGATAAAAGAAAGCAAATTAACAGGCCTGCTGATGAAACTAACGGTTATGCTCATTAGGTCTTCACCAATCTAGTCCATCCAGCATAACACAACAGGGTAGTCAGGATGTATAACAGAAGCCAACAAAGACATCTGAGCATCTTTAGGATCCAGATATTCATTACCATTATACTGTTGCTTAATTACACTGTTCCATAATTATTTGAGAAATCAAAGAGAATTACCTCATCTGCCAAATCTAACACTAGAAGCTAACCAATATCTCCTGGGCTTGGAAAAAGGTTGATGTTTTTGACTAGTATCTGTTTAATTTCTGGATTCTGCAAGGTGTGATATGTCAGAGGATTAAGTGGAAGCCCAGAAAACCACCACCACATTTTGCCCTGTATATGTATAAACAAGTTTCTTTTATCGCATCCCCTTTTTATGTAAATTATCAATACCAGCACAAGCAACATAACAGGAGTAGAGCAAGAAAGACAATGAGCAAGGTGAATAACACAGGACCAGCAGTGAGGGGAGGAAAGGGGAGATGGGAGGGAAAAAATCAATTCTGTACAGCCTAAGATCCACAGCAACAGCTGCCGAGTTCAAGGAAATGCAAAATTTGATAAATTAATCACATCATGCCTTTGAAACTGTTTACATACCAATCCTGAGTTCTTTTCTACAATCTCAAAAATGGAGTCCACGTTGTTTCATCCAAACAGGTATTTCATTTTCCATGTCTGAATGAACTTTTCCCAATTAACAAGCTCAGGTAGCAAATTAGAGATATGGAAAACACTTGTTATCACCTGAGAGCCAATCTTCCTCTGAAATTTTAATTTTCAGCCCCGACACAGCTGATTCAAACAGCCTTGAAATAGTATGACCAACAAAACATGACTGGAAAAATGTAGAAAGGATCACCAAAACCTAACCTCCTTTACAGGAACTGCACTCTCTGGAATTTAACTAACACTGCTACATAGCTAGAAATGAAAATTCAGATCCTGAATTTTATCTCACGGTCCATTTAATCAAACAGACCAACAGAGGTGCTCAATCTTATTTACAGCCCTTTAAAAGACACGAGGCAAAGCCTAGTAGAAAGTTGTAGGTATTTATTTTGGCAGGAACCCTTTAAAACAGACAATACTCCAATTCACTAAGGGGAAAAAAAGAACCTTGATTATTAGCTCATTCAAAAGAGACACGGAGCAGAGGAAAAATAAAAGCTCCCCCTAAGTCAGCGGGCAGTATTTCTAACCCCCAGTACTGCAAAGGCCTCCTCTATTTCCTAGTTCTGCTGGCAGAAACTTTATCATACTGTTCTTTATCATACTACGTAGTATGATGATGTCATCAAATGTCATTTTTAACTTCAGAATCCTTCATTATTTTAATTTTTCTTGTTGAACTCTACTCAGAAAAACTGCACACTATTACGGTGAACTTAGAGTTGACAGAAATTATCTGAAAGATTAAACGTATCAAAAAGTGTTTTGCTTTTGAAGTAATGCTCAATCTCTATTAAAAACCCTACATGCTCTTTATATGCAAAACATATGCACGAATATCACTTTTATGAAAAATATTAAATGCACTCCCACTTAGGAAAAAAAAAGTAAAATTTTGCTTATCCTTGACAGCAGCTAAACATTCCATGAGCAAGTGCCATTTGCGAAGGCAAAATCCTACAGACTATATTAAAAGTCAGGGTCTGTACAAAGCAAGGCCACCAAGCAAGCCAACGACGCTCACCACTGGGTCCTTACCTGTCAAAGGCTGTCCCAGCTCCGCCTGCACTTTACCCTTCGCTGCTCCTTCCAGAGGTAAAGCACCTCTGTCCCCTTTGTAGAGTTTCGGTTTAAATGGAGAATCTTTGTCTTTACCTTTTGATCCTTTAGGCCTGCCTGCTTGCTTCTTCTTGGATTTACCATCTCCCTTCACGCCCAGCAGCGGATGGACTTCTGTGGGGAGACAATGTTACCAAAGTGAGTTATCCCTTAGGATACTTAGACCAGCACGTACAGTCCTTGGAGCATCCAGCAGAAAGGCTACTTTTCATTTAGTTATCATCCCACTTTTATACTTAAATCACTTCAAGTCATAAGATGGTATTTGTAAAAATAAATACCGTTACATAGAAGCAGTCAGTTTGGTTTCTAGAGATTAGACCAAAATCCCCCAACCATTTGTCTGGCAGTGCACAACATGGGAACAAAGAGAGAAGAGGCTATGTCAGAGATGGCTCAGCCAACCCTGGAGTAAACATCCAAATCCCCAAAATATAAGAATTAATGCAGACTGCAGAAAGGGCTTCTTACATGAGACACAGCAGATTTTGTTGTCTTCACCAGCTTTCCAGACAAAACCCAGTGGCACAGATAAGAAGAGATTTCTTTTTCTGCATTTACTCCTATTTGTGAAGCTCTAACAGAACTGGTCTTAAACGGCTAATGCTGTACTGTACTGCTAATAATGTACACAATACATCATTTCAACTGATATCATTGTCCTATTCCAGGGGAAGCAGAAGTGATGTACTGAACAAGTTTGTTTATTTAAATAATAATAAAAAATAGCTGCCAATTTAAAGACAAGCAACATTGCAAATTACAGCTTCAGGATACCTTTACACATTCCTAGCTTGCAAAGTGTCAAAAAAAAAAAAAAAACCCAAGAACAATAACAGCAGAGTTGGTGACCACTAATGACTACTGTAAGAAATACCCTCACAGGAAGAAGAAAATTAAGGAGTGACCTTTTGAACTCCTGGTCTTCAGAATAGGCAAAGCTTTAAAAAATAAAAATAAAAATAAAAAAAAAACACCACACACACTAAAAACCATCCCAGGAGCAGAATAGGCATTAATACAACAGCAGCTTCTACTCACCATCGTTAGGTACTCCTTGTAGTTCAATGTTGGTGGTTTTGGGCTTCTTCTTTGGTGCCTGAGGTCCATCAGAGGAAGATTGCCTTTTCTTCTCAGAACCTACTCCCTCATCAGTTAAAGAACTCTGAACAGCATCAGGTGGAGGACCATAGGGATTTTCTTCTGGATCTTCCACTTCAGGAGCAATGGGTAAGTAAAGCAAAGCCTTGGAGTCCTCCAGTTCTTCATCACTACGAAGGAAAAAATATGCTTGCATTTAAAGCTAGGGTCTTTAGTATCTTCTTTCTTCACATCTACAAACCAAGACCTATCTCTGCAGGCTGCTGTCACATCTGTGCTGTGTAACGAACCAAAGTATTCTGCAGCCTGGGAACCCTGTATAAATATTGACCCTATAACCAAAGAGAATAAGAAGGACAGAAATGCTGTGAAGGTAAGAATTTGTAAAGGTTAGGAGTAGAGCGTGCCACATGTCACAGGAGCGTCATGATCAGACTGCCCAATGTTATCCTGTGTAAGACTGATGGTGACTAACAGGGGACTCAGGGACAGAGTGAGAAAAATGAAAACACTGTTGGAAGTTTCTCAGGAGAGGCACGGAGACTAAGAAAAGAAGAACAAAGGGATAGGTCTCTTACTGTAGGCTCTTCTCTTATCCTCTTCCCCCAGACTAACTAAAAACTGAAACATGCACTTTGTAAATGCAGCAACTAAGGCAGTGAAACACTGATCTTTGGACAGAGATACACCTTAGCCTCCACAAATGCCTTTTTACACAATAAATTCCTTGTCTTCACTGCATGAAGAACGTACAAAAGCCGAGTACAAGGCTGTTGCAATGTATTAGAAACAGAATCTTAGGGATACGTTTCTTATTCTTTTCTGAAACAAAAGACTTATTCTTTTACCTGCTACAGAAGGCAGCAATGGGATCCACACTGGTTACATCCACTTCTTCATCTTCTGCAGCATCGGCACCTGAGAATCAGGGAAACAGGGAATTAAAGACAGTAGGGAAAAGAGAGAGAGGGGGGGAGAGAGAGGGAAGTCTATAGTATGCTGGGAACAATCTTTCTTTGGTTTAGCTATAGCCTTTCACGGTGCATAATTTTTTGGCACCACCAAGTGGCCAAGCTGTGCTGTTACTGAGTCCAATTCAGCATTGCTTCTCTTGAGAGCAAGCCCACATAGCAATGTTATGTCTATTTACTACTGGGTTTTGCTTAAAGATATATTACAAAGGGGAGTCATTTTTAAACAATTGTTGAATGTCAGCTGGTAAAAATTATATTAATTGCAGTATTTCACATATCTTCATTCATCCACTGCTGTTTTCCAGTTTACCAGCCTTATATATTACCATGATCATTAGTTCTAATTTTTCTTATAACCACATATTCAGACTATAATTACTTGTTACAAACGGAATTTCTAGCCACACCTTTGTAAAGCTTATGCTTTACCTGTCTGTTCTGGTTCGCTCTTATCTTCATCTTCAATGTCAAACTCTGACTCCCTCTCCTCATACTCTACATTTTCATCCAGCTCTTTGAAGTCAGGTGCAAAGGCACTCCAGTTTTCCTAAACCACAAATTCAAGAGGAATTTTACCTTAGGCAAAGGAACAGCAGCCACAGTGAAGACCTCGTGCGATCACAATCTCATTCTGCATCAAAATCTTCCAAGCCACACGCAAGCTCACAAAATCTAGTCCTTTTCAGGTCCACAGTCACATAGCAAATTAGGGATTGTACAAGTTAGAATGTCGTATTTGTGATAGGAGCTAATACTCCTTAAATACTACAACGTTCCTATGATCGTATTAGAGGCTTTCTGCAAAGCTCAGCTAGATTCAGCAACTGAAGTATGAGTACCCTCTTCACGTTCAGTAGGATGATAAACATATTTCAAAGTCAGGCAGGTGAACCTAAAGAGCTTGCTGAATTGGTATTTAATACGAATAATCCTAGAGGATTTCAATATGCCATAATTCAGTCTACGTGGATGGAGACCACTAGGTAATCTTCTTAAGGAAGAGATCTAAGACACTTACCACTTGATTCTGAGCCCATATTGACACAACACCACTGGAAATAGATGCTATGATCGGTCGGACAGGATGCCACTAGGTTTATTTGAAAGAGAAAAGAGAAGGAGCTTAATTTGTAAATGGAATTAAGAAAACGTAGTTTTTAAAATAACAAGAAATATAGTAATAGTGGTCAATGTTCTTACTGCTACATCCAAAAGCAGCTCTCCTCTGGTTCCATGGAGGATTTTCACTAGGTTTCCAATACTTTTTTCCCAAATGTACAGGGCATGCTGTCGTGCTGAACCTGCCACTATATATTCACCATCCCCAGAGAAACAGCACTTCTTCCATGGTGTCCTGCATGCAAAGAAATTCATAGTTCAAAGCAGGTGGTTAAATAACATACAACATGGAGAACAGAGGACTACAGAGTTGGATTGTTCCTCAGACTGAGATTTTATAGCCTCCATCCACAAATAATATTTGAACTTCAAAACAAATTGTGACACAGGTTTCAAATGAAACAATTCTTCCACTACACCGAAGGAGATACTGAATCAGCCTTTGTCCAAAAACTCCCAATAGGGCAGAGCACAAAAATCTCACGTTTCCAAGTTAGGCTGACCAAACATTTTGCTGCTTCTTACCTATTAACTAAATCCTGCAGCTTCTGCATTGGCTCAGGCTCCCCATCTCGTCCACAGGTTAGAATTTCACGCCCATCATACACTCTGATTATCCGGTCAGCTGTGTTTATTAAAAAGCAGCTGTAAGAAGAAGGGCACAGAAAATTCATCGCATTAAAAGTCTATGAATTTAAAAAAAAAAAAAAAAAATCAGAATACGTTCCATTAAAGAATTAAGGGGTTCTTTTAGTCTTCTATACTTTATCAATCCATATAGCTTTCAATCTGTCTTTAGATGCCACTTGACAGATGAGGTAACTCACCTTCCTTTCCGAGCAAATTCAATTGATTTAATAGCTGTGGTGTTGCTGGTTCCAGTTGTCACTCTGAAGGAAGCTACAAGATCCTGAGTATCTGTTTTTAAGACCAAGATCTGCAGATTAAAGAAAGAGAAGGCAGTCAGAACCTTCGTTATGATTAATTCCCCTTTTTGTACCTTTCACATCAGCTACTAACCCTGCCAATAGCAGCCTGAGCAATCTAAACCAGAACAGTCAGGATTCTGCAACTGTAGTTTCTGTTTCTAGAAACTCATACAAGCAGTTTTGCCATCTTATGACTGCCAGTGAAATATAAAGGACCATTTTTTGATAGATTACGCCTTAAGTTAGCAGATACAGATACATATTCTTTCGAACTCCTCTGACAAAACTGTCCTTTCAAAGTACTTTACCACGTGTATGCTTATGTACACTGAAAAAGAACCCAATAAGTACGATTAAACATAGCAACAACAGAAAGACCTAACTCACGCAAAGAATTATAAGCTACAGATCTTGAAAAATAAAATGAGATGCTTTACTCAGAGAGATCCTATCTACTCAACACCAGTTATCCAAGAGATATTCAGAAAGCCTCGTTTGTGTATTAAAACAGAGATCGTAACCTAAAAACATCATTCATCTCTGGGGGGGGAAAAAAAAAAGTAATCTAAGCTATTCCATCGAGCGTCACCTATTCAGTATAAGTCTTACCTTCCCCTTGGCATTGCCTGTATAAATGTATTCCCCTCGCCTGTCAAAAGAGGCCACAACATTGAGATCAGAATCATCATCCACAGGTAGAACAACATGTTTGGAGTCAGACAACGTTAGCATCACTGGCGCAGACTTCATGGGACAAACCAAAACCCTGTTTCTGTAAAGCAGCAAGAGAGTTACTAGTTTCTTCTGCGGAACTTTTTGTTTCACATTTAGAAGCAGAAAAATTCTGAAAAGACTAGGAATTACAACACTGAAGAATCTTGAAAACTGAGCTTTACACAAGCTTTATTTGTTGCTTTAGGATTTTAATCTACTGGAACTTTATTTAAGCAGGCAGCGTTGTAGCTGAACAAGAGTCCAACAGTTTCTTTTTTTTCCTCTTATACTCCTGAGAAATATAGACTAACCCTGTTATTTTTGTTATACGCTCGGGTCTTCCATACTTTTATTCCAAAATGACAATAAGTTGGTGTCTACTTTCTATTTCTGGAAGCTTTTCCATGTTTATACAATAACTTGTAATCTCAACAAAACATGCATATGCACATTTTTAAGACTCATTCTTTTCTTTACTCTCATCCCTTCCTGATATTTTCACAATAAAAAGAGCCACAACAAAACCAGTTAGGGTTCTAATCACAAAAAATTGGCAAATTGAAAGCATCTACTGCATTTTAAAAAATTACGTTGCAAAAACTGCAGTAACAATACTGTAACAATCCTTAATTATACCAAAAAGAGAGCACTTGACTGTTTTTTCACAGAACTTACTGGTCTCGAGGGTGGTACTGAACTTTCAAGATAGGTGAAGGAAATCGAAATCTCTGGTCACAATCTCCAGAGAGAACATCCCACTGCGATACAATGTTATCGGTTGAAGCGCTCACCAATTTGTGACCATCTCGACTCCAGCTACAGAGACAAAAGGCAACTCAAGTAAAAGCTTTTTTCTTAAACACCAACACACGTACAATCAGAAGGGAGTTTAAACACATTATCAGACCAAATTATCACCTTCAGCTAAAAACTTGCTAGCCTGAAAAGCAACTGCTTTGAGCTCCAACCTCCCAAAACTTATTAGGCATACTGTGTTTCCAAACTCTCT